GTTGAATTTTGCACGGGCTAAGGCGTCGAGGCTGGACCTAGCTCACTCTCCATTAAGTCTATGGCGTTTCACTTAGATTAACTAAACTTTCGTCCGAAAATATATTTCTGGTAAAAATGAGTTTGTTTGTTTAGGTTTTCCTCCTAATATAATATTCTAAATGAAATAAAGTATATATTTACGAATGGCTGACAGAATCCTACTATTCTAATTGGTTGAAGATATTGACTTTCAGCCAATGAATGCCTTGAATGCTTGCAGACCAACATTCTGCCAAATGTATCCATTGGTGTATCTCACACCAATGTGGAAAACCTCTTTCGCAACCAAGTGGCTATGTGTAGCCACTTGCGTGTAACCCCGCTACACCCCCCCCGTTAAGCTAAGACTTCCCTAGTCTTAACATATCATTCAAAGTATTGACGAGGCCGTCAAATTTTTTGAGAAACCCGAGCTCATTTTGCAATGAGCTCGCCGATGAAGTCACCCACGCAAGAGCCTGCTCCTGCAGGCACCACCACTTCAGTGTCCGCGCGAGCGAGCACGCTCGCGACAGAAGGTAATCTTTCTGCCACGCAATACCATGCTACGCTTAAGCGAAGGCACGCACAAGCAACGACTGACTAACCGTCAGTCGTCATGGAGTGCTCGTCATTTATGTCTACTGATGGAAACATACCCATTGACTATGGGTCAGACATCGAAGACGTTCCCATGGAAGACGAGGACACCCCGTCTTCAGCTGTCGACTCTAAGTCGACCGAACCAACGCCCGATCCCGGTTGGGTCGTTGTGTGGCCGTGACGATGATCCGGACGCTCCCAAATTGAAGCGTCCGCGCAACGGTGTATGTCCTGTCGAAGCATGCACCGAGTTGTTTATGGCAAACTCTGCCATCGGCAAGCAGTCGCTCCACTGCGGGAACGAGTGTGCGTAGCTCTTCAGTACGTAACCGAGCACACGATTCACGGGCTCGGTCGTCTGCGGATGATCCGCAGTCGCCATCGACAGCTGTGTTCCAAGAAGTGTAAGCACATCTTGCCAGAACCGCGCTATAAAGCGTGGATCACGGTCCGACACAATGTCAAGCGGCATTCCATGGTGTCGGGACACCATGTCAACAAACAGTCGTGCAGTCTGCACGGCCGTGACCTCAGCCAGTACTGCAGCAAGATAAACCATCTTGCTAAATCGGTCAACAAAGACTACAACGTCAGTCCTCCGCTTGTTGTCTGGCGGAAGACCGAATACAGAGTCCATAGAAATGGACTGCCAGCACTCCGACGTTGTCGGCAGTGATTGGAGTGGAGCCTGCGAATACGCAACAGGCTTCACGCGTTGGCACACTTCGCAAGCACGTACGTACTTGCGCACCCTCTTGTACTGGTGGTAGTAGAAGTCTCTCGTGAGAAGCGTGTATGTCCTCTCACGGCCCGGATGCCCTGCCGTGGGGGCATCGTGGTACTAGTACGTGATCCGCAGACGCAGATCATAATCATTCGGCACGACGATGCGACCCGCATCATCGTCCACTGCGCTGTAGGGCACCAGTCCTTCGTGCACACGATATCAGTGCGCACGAGCTCGTAGATGTGGCGACAACTTCCGACGTGATACGTCAGAAGGTGCTAAGACAAAGTCTAGCAGCGGTTTCGTGTCTGCGTCTCTCACATACGTGTTCTTCACGTCGTCGATCAATGTCGACGACGGAACACTTACTCGTTCGACGCCAATTTGATTGACGTCGGCTGTCTTAACAGCGTAATCAGGTCGATGCGACAACACGTCGGCCACCACAATTAACCCTCCAGGTTTGTACTCAACCTGGAAGTCGTACTCCGCAAAGAACGATAAACATCTCGCCATTCGTTGCGAGATGTGCGGCGTCTTCACTGCTGTTCGCAGTGAAGCGTGGTCGGTGTAGACTACGAGCGGTCTACTCCCAAATAAATACACTCGAAACTTCGCGAGTGCATACTTCATGGCAAGGAGCTCCTTGTCATGTACAGGGTAGTTACGCTCAGCTGGCTTCGGCTGACGCGGCTGGTACTTTACCACACGATCATGGCCCTCGTGATCGTGCTGCATCAACGCGCATCCGATTGCAAAATCGGACCGTCACACACGATGCGGAATGGGCGATCTTGGTCACTGCCAAGATCGGCGGCTCAGTCAAGCCCTGCTTGACTGTATCGAAGGCCTGCTGACACTATGCAGCCTAAATCCACCCAGCCTCCTTTTTCATGAGCTGTGACAGCGAGCGTATTTTGCCCACGTAATTTTCAACGTACTTGCACAAGAACGATGCAAGTCCAAGGAGCTGTCTCAGTTCCTTCACGTTGGATGGCGTAGGTCATTCATTGATCACTATGACCTTTTCTTGGTCAGGGCGTACGTCGTTCTCCCCGACGAGACACTCAAGGACGGGTATCTCGCTCGCCCCAAAGATACACTTCTTCAGGTTCGCATTGAGATGATGTTTACGCATAAGCCCTAGCAGCGGACGGAGGTGCTCTTTGTGCACCTCAACGTCAGTCTTCTCTTTCACAGCCCGGCTGTCAACGAACACGTCATCGGAGTAGCTCAGTGCGAAGTCACGCACTGAGCGCTGTGTTACACATATACTGAAGGTTGCAGGGGCGTTCTTCATTCTCTGCAGCATTACGAGCCACTCTCAATGCATACCGCTAGGAATTCTCACCGCTGTGAGAGGAATGTCCCTCTCACTTATCAGGATCTGATAGACCCCGTCGCGCAGATCAAAAGCACTATAGATGGTGCTCTTGGCCATCGACTCAATGATAACATCTTTTCGTGGTTATCAGCGTCCGCCGATATCATTGCATCGTTCAGCTTGCTGTAAGCATGAACGATGCGCCATCCGCCCTGTGGCTTCTTGACACAGATGTTGGTTGGTGCGCTGTACGGGAAATTTAATCCCCATATTTGACCCGCATTACGAAGACTTTCAAAGAGGTCATCGATTGCCTTTACTTGATCACGCGGTAGTGGCCACTGCCGCTTCACACATTACTTCGTTCCCCGCACGAGGTCGATCTCGTGCTGTATGCCCTTGTCCTGCGGAATCTCTTCCGGGAGCACATCCTTGTGCTCCAGCAGAACATCATAGAAGGGAATCGACTTCAATGAGTCCCAGCTCTGCTCGTCGAAGCACTGCTTCTTCGTCCTCGCGCTGAGAGTGTCTTTACTCTCAGCGGTATCACCAGTGTGGAGTTGCCTCAGATCCTCCACTTCGCTTTCCACCCTTTAGATATCCGAAAGGATGCACATTTGCTCGATTCGCTCATCGTACAGGTCCTTCGCAAAGCGCATATAGTCCATGGCTACAAGCGACGTCAGCTCCGACGCATTCGTCGGAGGAATCTCCAGTTGCATGGACCGGTACTGGAGGCCAGTACTGGTCCGCGTCAAGACTATCAACGTCTCGACGCACGACGTCGTCTCCAATGTTTGCCCGGCGGACATCGCTCGTATTGCCTCGCTCCGGACCGAGACTTGCGAAGCTTTCGTCGCTTGCGCCGTCTTTTGTTCTTGTGAAGTCCGGCTTTACATGTTTCCCGTCCAGACCCGGCCTTGAACGGATTACCGCTGTAACCGTCGGCGGATTCTATCCGCGGACGCGAATGATCAAGCCCGGCTTGATTGCATTCCGCTACGACGTGCAGCCCGTCTGCACGCGAGCACGCAAGCGTTTTCAGTGTTGGACGTTTGCAACCGCCAACACTGCTTGCCGCGTCGTCAACCTTTGGAGCTGACGCGCTGCCATCACCTCGACGCCTTTCGGCGGAGCCCTTCGTGAATTTAAACCAATCACGACCGTGTCATCTCCCGGAGCTGACACGCCGACACCACAGCTACTGTATGTGACTTGAAGCTCCCTCATACTTGATCTATCAACTCCCTGAGTCGATACGGTCATTGAAGTATGAACGTGTCTTAAATCTGATTTCCGAATTGAGACATACCCAACGACTGCCTTAGTCGTTGCGACTTGTGAATGGGCACCGGAGGCTGCATCATAAGGTGCTGCCACAACGGTGTGATCGGATGCACCTCGCAGTGCATGCGCGACACTGACAGGGCCATCGCTCTCTTTCGCGTTGCGTCCGAAGTGTAAAAGTGTATACTTCTCTTCGTTGATCCCTGGATCATGCCGTGCAATCCACGGCATACCCA